CACCTAAATTCTTAGACCCTCAGTTTGCTCCCAGTATAAGATAGCTGTTCATTCCCAAGATCCTTTGCAGACTGAATGTTCTATTTCTTCATTGAGTCAACATTTACTGAATAATCACTTTGCGCCAGGCACTGTGGGGCACTGTTAAGCCCAGGTAAGACAAAGATACCAAATGATTTTATAGAGAGGGATGTGAAAGCAAACCACTAAAAGATAATGTTGCACAATTTGTGCTAGTTCCATGATTCTGTGTGTCTAAAAATATATGTCTCTTCTGACCAAGAAGTTAACTGGGAAGGAAAAGCCAAGAAGGAAAATGACCCCAGGATGAGCTTAAGGAATGTGCCTGTAGCAGAGAATCCACATGTCAGACATGTGACAGAAGAATTCTAGCCTGCATAGCTGTAACTAACCTTTGGACGATGAGATTTCCTCACACCATGGTAAAAAGGTGTATTTACTTCCCTAAGAGAAGTAAAAGAGAAAGTATATAATACTTGGGACTATATGAAGAACTTGGCACATATTGAGTATCCATTTCTCTTTATTATATTGAAAATCATAATGAGCATTCCTCATATTTCAGGCCTTCCCAAAGAGCAAATCTATAGCATAAAATATTTTGTTAAAAATAAGAAGTATGTTCTTAATATATTGGAATAACATTAATCTGTTATAAATTAACTTCATACCCTCCTTCCCAAGACTTGTCTTTCAGATTCTGAGTCACGTTCTCAAATATACTTTCTGAACTTTCTTTTATAACTACAGTACCTTCAAAGTTGAACCTAAATAACCTAATAGTCTCTTTGTATAATGTACAGACACTTAGCCTATGACTTTTGAAAGATTTTCATACAGGGGAGACTGTGCTACTTTGGCTTGAGTTCCTCCTCGAATTCTCTTTTCTTCCACATACATATATACGTTTTCTTTTCTTGGCACTAGACAGTTTGGGGCTGTTTATATATTAGTGGAAATGTTTGCAAAGTTATGGGAAAATTAAGTTTACATTACAGTCATAAATCTTTACTTGTAAATCGTACCATTTATGAGCAGCCATTGTTCAAGCATACTTATATATACCTTAATTATATCTTGTGTTTTAAGAAGGCTTTGCCTTGATCTATTAGTCAGGATATTTGGTTGCAAGTGACAGCTGAATTAGCTCAAGCAAAAAGAGAATTTATTGGCTATTTTAACTAGGAAGTTTAGATGTTGAATTAGCTTTAGTATAACTGAATCCAGGGGCTCAAATGAATTCCTGGCTCTCTTGCCCTCTGTCACTCAATTCAGCATTCCTCTTGGTATTGGCTTCATTTTTAGGCAGGTTCTCTGTGTGTGGTAGTAAAAGATAGCCAATGGCAGCTCAAGACTTGTCTGGTCTTTGTAAATTGAGATCAGAGGAAAAGAGACTCTTTGGGATTCATATACTGGATCTCATTTGGGGACTCTCATTGATCCAGGTTGGGTATAATGCTCACCCCCTTGCCACCAATCTTTGTGAATAGCAGAAGAAAGTATTATATAAAGAATGACTAGCCCAGGGATTGTCTCAGCTTTGGAAGCTAGGGGAGAGTAAAGTCCTTTGACTGACAAATTCTCCATATCCACATCAGGTGAAAGAGGAGCAGGTCTCTAGTAGATGTCAGGTACATGAATAACAGATGTCCACTCCATTTGGTAAGGTGTTGTTAAACACTTTTAAGTGAAAGGAGCACTGGCTTTCATTTGCCTCAAAAATGCAAAGCTGCTATTAATAAGATGACAATATTTATTTGTTTTTGAAACCATCTCAAATATTCTTTTTTTTTTTTTTTTTTTCTGAGACAGAGTCTTGCTCTGTTGCCCAGGGAGAGTGCAGTGGCATCATCAAAGCTCACTGCAACCTCAAACTCCTGGGCTCAAGCCACCACACCCAGCTAAGTTGTTTACTTTTTGTAGAGATGGGGGTCTAGCTATGTTGCTCAGGCTGGTCGTGGACTCTGGGCCTCCAGTGATCCTCCTGCCTTGGCTTCCCAAAATGCTGGGATTACAGGCATGAGTTACCTCGCCAGTGAAACCATCTCAAATATTCTAGAGATCTATTTAATACATTCTCTCTGGATTTTTCATATGGTAATATACTGCCTTTTCACTGAATTGACATTATATTTTCTTAATAGTCATTTTAAAATTTTATCAAGTTTTTATAAATATTTCATTGTGATTGCTTACACAAACCATGTTTATTTCATAGTAAAAATCGCAAGTATCCTGGTTGAGAGAGATCATTTAGAAAATAGTTTCTCTTTGATAACTTAGATGTGTTGATGGTGTTTGGTTTCTAAGAATTATAATTTCTTTTAATGGAGTTTGTCTTAAATTCTTGCTGAAGGCTAAAAAAGAGTTTTTAAGTGACCATAGTGATAAGAGTCAATAAACCACATTTCTCTTGTATAGAACATTTTCAGTTCTCAGATCTTGACCCTGATAAACTTTATGATAGGGGAAAATTCCAAAACACATATGAAGGAGAGAATTATATTCAGGTGTTTTAAATAGCAAGTCCAAATACAGTCATCCTTTTTTCATACTCATAAATTAGGACAGCTCCAGCTTTTAAAATAGATTAAGAAGAAGGGGTGGCATACATACAGAACAAACCAATGTTTAAATATAGCACATTTAAATTCTTTGCATATCAAAGACCAGTAACAAAATGTAAGTTGATTTTGGCTTTAGAAATCGTTCTGGAAGCTGGTGCATGCCTGGAATCTCAGCTACTTAGGAGACCGAGGCCGGGGGATCGCTTAAACTCAGGAGTTCAAGACCAGCCTGGGCAACATAGTGAGACCTCATCTCAAAAAAAAAAAAAAAAAAAAACATTCTGGATGTTGGCTGCTCATGGCATATCCTGTGTTCTAGAGCTTTATGGGGCCTCTGTCATAGGATGAAAGAAGAGGTAAAATCTTATTACAAAAAGCCCTGCTTTATTATCATTAAATCTCCTTGGACCAGGCCCAGTGTAGATACAGTGTAGACACAGAATTCCTATGTTTATGGTTAATTTTAGCAAGAGCATAATGTGTTCCTTCAATCTACTGGTCATAAAATTGGATGCATTACGTAAGAGGATGACTTGTTCCTAGGAAATACTCAGTGGAATATTTAGTGGTAAAGGTCATGATGTCTCCAACTTATTCTCAAACAGTTTAGAACAACAACAATAACAACATGATATTCTATGATATAAATGTTCCATAATTTACTTAACTAGTCCTGAGCTGGTAATTGTATGTGGAGGCAGATAGGTAAACTGGATAACTTCAACTCAAATGATTAGATTTTCTTCAAGTAGCTTTATTATTTGGCTTGAAATGCTGGACATTCCAAAGTTTTAGATCATATTCCAAAGTCAATATATATGCCACTAGAGTTAATGATTGAGTTGACTGTATACTAAAAATATTACCTCAAAGGACTTCTGGTAAAATGTGGAAATGGAGTCCTTGAGAGATTTCAACAAAATTTTAGAATATAGAAAGCAGAGAGGAAGATGCTATAACATGAATCTCTGGTTTGAAAGGGCCCACTGAATGCCTATTACAGTGAATGAAGAGACCCTTGTAAAGTAAGTCTTCATAAAATCTCAGCACCCTAGGATTAAAGACAGCTTCCATAGAGACCAGGTCACATACAATAGGTAATAGAATGGCACAAGACATCTCAGATGTCTCACAGAATATTGGAATAGAAGACAATGGAGCAATTGCCACTAGAATTCTGAGAGAAAATGGTTTTGGGCGTAGAATGCTATACTCAGCCAGTTTTAGCCTTATCTAAAGTCAGTTTTATTTTATTTTTTTAATTTTAGCATACTATGGGGGTACAAGTGTTAAGGTTACATATATTCCTCATGCCCCCTCCCCCCTCAAGTAAGAGCTTCAAGTGTGTCCATCCCCCAAACGTTGCATATCTTACTCATTTGGTTGTATATACCCATCCCCTCTTCCCCCCTCCCACCCTCCTGACACCTGATAAATGTTACTCCTATTATGTCCACTTAGGTGTTGATCCATTAATACCAATTTGCTGGTGAGTACATGTGGTGCGTATTTTTCCATTCTTGAGATACTTCACTTAGTAGAATGGGTTCCAGCTCTATCCAGTAATATACAAGAGGTGCTAGATCACCATTGTTTCTTAAAGCTGAGTAGTACTCCATGGTATACATATACCACATTTTATTAATCTACTCATGAAATGATGGGCACTTGGGTTGTTTCCACAGTAAAGCCAGTTTTAGATAAGGAAAGTTTTTAAAAAAAGCACCTCCCTTGAGCCTTTGCTTAGGAAGCTACTGACATTTATTCCAACAAAATGAGGGCACACCCCAAAAAAGATGAAGTCCTGAAGTCAAGAAACAGGGGATCCAACACAGGAAATTGGTGAAGGAAATATCAGGGAGGCATCAGGCCTAGAGAGCTACCGGTTGCAGATTGGAACAATAGGATGGAAGCTCCAAAACGGAAATGGGGGCAAGAAATGAAATGGATAAATTATCTGTTAACACTAGACTGCTCAGAAAGTAATGTTGATAGGTATGTAATAGATCTGATGGAGCATTTGGGAAAAAATGATCAGAACTTATGATATTAAGGAATTATAAATTAAGGAATTTTGGTATAAATATTTCATTTAGAAACAGAATTAAATAACTAGAAATAGCTATACAGATGAAAGTCATTACTCATGGGGAAGAATATGGCAGAGATGGATGAACATGATTATCAGCTTTTTAGAACTATTTGATTGTACTATCAAGTATATCAGTTATGTTGATTAAAAATAAAAGCCAGGTGAAAATAAAAGCAGTTCAAACTAAAACAAACCATTTAAAGATGTTAATAACAGGGCAGATGGGTGTGGGGCATATGAGAACTCTCTTTTCACAATTATTATGTAAATCTAAAGCTGTTCTAAAAAATGAAATCTCATTTTGAAAAATTTAATTGTAGGAATAAAAGATGAAAGAGAAGAATGTAAGGTAATGAACTATATATACATTATATTAAATATAGGACAATAAACTTAATGAACATCAAAAATGTACAGAAAACAAAATCAAATTTTATTATTGATTTTCAAAACAAAATTGAAAATAAAAGTATTATTTCACTGTTAGTAAATACTATCTATACATATGTCCTATATTTTGAATTATTCCATGTTACCAATGTCATTTATTCTTCATAGAAACTTGTGATTTTTAAAATAATGACTGAATAGCTATGTTTATGTGGTTGACAGGTATGTTTTTTCCATTAGTGGATTAATATAGTTTTGGATTACGACTATTCAAGTTCACCTCTTCACCCTTGTTTAAGTCTCCTAAGTCACACTCGAAGTTATGCAGAACTAGTGGGGGATGGGGTGGTCAATGAGTATATCTGGCTAGGCCACATCCTCAAAATGTTGCACTCTTTGTCATTGAACATCATTCCTCCCCTGTTCTTCTTCATCAGTTTGGCTCCATAGCAGTCCTATTTCATAGGATTGATGAAGCGATTTATCTGTAAACTTTGGTTGAATGTGGCTTAGAAATCAAGCCATCTGCTACCAGGGGCAGTAGTATAAGTTTGTCCTGGGGACAGTAAAGATATGTGGTGTTTACTGTTGCTGTCATCAGAACAGGCACTGAACTTGGAAACTCCAGGACTTTGGGACTGACATTGAAGCAAAATCATGATGAATATACAGTGCTCGGATTGGGCTGTCTAGCATGTTTTAAGGCAGGTTTCCTTACGTCTTTATTACTTTCTATATTTTTTAAATATCTTTTTATATTTTAGGAACTAGACATTGCAGGAAACTCCTCTTGTACCCTGTTTTTACTCTGTGGATCCAGCAAACGAAAATGACAGCCCTGCAATAGCTAAATATCTAAGCTTTAAAAACACATTTAAAAAGCCCTAATTGGCATAATAACCTATAATTTTCTTTCTTTTTTTTTTTTTTTGGCATCACCCATTTTATATCTTGTACTTCCAGTTTCCCTCAATCACATAATTATCAGATATTCTTGTGGATTTTAAAAGGTGGTTTTAATGCCATATTCTTCAATTAATTGACCAGTTTGCTTCCATTAAGTGTAATCTCTTGTGCTTGACTTCCTGCCTATGGGACAGAGTTTAGTTCAATAGAACCCTTTGAGGTTTTTTCCTGGTTTGTTGACTTTAATTCTAGTGCCTGGTTGAAGCAAGAAATGTTGGAGGTGATACAGAGAATGTTCTTCTCATTGTATGTGCAGATTAAACTTCCCTAAGAGTAATGCTGTTTCTGAGTGTAAGACAGGATTGACCATCTTTGGTTCTGTTGATTTGCACTGTGTGAATAATGGCCAAATAAATGTCATCCCTTTGGCTAGTCTCTTGTCTTTTGAATTTGGTTATAGTTCTTTTGCAGGCCATTGTGGATTGAATATTTGTATCTATCTCCCAATAAATTGAAACGTTAACCCACAATGTGATGGTATTTGGAGTTGAGGCATTTGGGAGGTAATTCAGTTTAGGTGAGGTAATGAGGGTGGGGCCCTCAAGGTGGAATTAGTGCCCTTATAAGAAGACAAAGAGACACGAGAGCACTTTCTCTCCTCACATGCATGCATTGAAGAAAGACCATGTGGGCACACAGTGAGAAGGTGGCTGGCTGCAAGCCAGGAAGAGGGCCTTCACCAAGAACTGAATCTGCTGCTGCCTTGATCTTGGAACTTCCAGCCTCCAGAACTGTAAGAAATTGATGTCCGTTGTTTAAGCCACCCCAGCTATAGTATTTTGTTAAAGAAGCCTGAGCTAAGACTTAGGCTTTCTCCAGTTTCTCTAGTTTTTTGATTTCAGTATAAATAGAATAGGGTAATTGTCAACCTTTATCAGTATTGAGCATGTGGAGGTGAGATTATCTTACTTCCTTTACACCCAACACCCATTCCTTTTTCCTGTTACCATACTCTAAAACCAAATCTAAAACTAGATTATTTTTTATGATAGTATTCCTTTTTTGGGAGGCTTCTTATTTATCCCTTCATTTGGCTATGTCTAGCATTTTTTTGTCAACAGCCTAGATGACTGCTGTGTGTATATGTTATTTTTCCTTTTTCTGAGGTCTGTTCTTCCTACAACTTGGTTACAATGCCCTGTTTCCATTGGGAAGTCACCTTTCCCCTTTCTCACTCCTCAATCCATGTGACTAAAGGAAGGCTCATCCCATCCATGGCTCCAGGGGTGAGCAAAACAAGACAATCAGAGAAACATATTCTTCTAACCACATTGATTAGTTCTGAGATGAACAGATGCCTCAATTCAGGCCAATGAGAACTAGACTCAAATCTTTTGCTGAAATCATTCAGAAAACTGCTCAAGCCTATACAGAGGAAAACAATGCCGAACTATGGAGAAAGTGAGAGAATCCAGGTGATATTATTTGATTACTAGGATCCAGTTGTATCTGAGTTTATGTTGGACTTTTTGATCATATAAGCTAATAAACTTCCTCTTTGGCTTAGGTCAATTCAATTTAAATTAGGTCTTTATTATTACAACTGAAAGAGAGCTATATAACATGATTACCAAATTCACAACCATTAGTAATCATGAAGCGATAGAGAATATATTAAATGAAAGAGTCAAAATCCAGAAAGATCTTCATTAAAAAGAAGGGCAGCAACTAGTAAGGTAAAATATAAAGTTCCATAGTTGGTAAAAATCACTGATTGGGAAAAATGAGGATGAGGCTGGCATGGATAAATAGTTGCTCGTATGAGAAAGATTTAGTGGTTTCAGTGAATTATTAGCTCCATCTCAGTTACTAGTGTGATGACGCTGTCAAGAATATGTTGTGCTTTGTTTCACTAACTTATTCTCCTATCCTTGTACTTATATAACACAGTACCACACTGTCTTGATTACTATAGCTATATTATAAATTTCAAAAATTTGGTATTGTAAATCTGCTGACCATATTCTTCTAGATTCTTGGCTATTCTATGTCCTTTGTATTTCCATGTAAATGAAATATTGTGAATTTCCCCAAATTAAAAAGAAGTAAGAATTTCCTAATTTTTCAAGTTGGTGGGCCTAATGAATTGTAAGTTGTTTTTAATGCCATTGAAAAAAAATAATACTTGTTATGGGAAAATAAATATTGAATGATGCTAGGTCTTGAGAAATACATCCTTAGAATAGGATACAAATGCCCTATATATTTATCTATATAAAGCTAGAATGCATAATACATTGATGGAATACATAAGAAACTAATAATAGTATTTTGGGTGGACTGAGGATCTGGCATAGGAGAAAGATTTACTGTTTTGTGTACCTTTGAAAGCTTTTAAATTAAAAAAAACTAATAAAAAATTTCAAAATAAAAATGTAATATACACTATTATTATTCATGTATCTTTGAGATCTATCTCTAAATCGGAATTCCTTTATATACATAAAATCTGTCTTGATTTATGTGTACAGGTGCTGTTTGTAGTTAATGTCACTGCAGTTCTTCCTCTTTATTTCCTAGGTCGGCCCATTACCTGGACTTTAAGGAAACTTTAATCAATCTTTTACATCATGCATTTAAAAATTTTTTATGATGTACCTCCTAAGCTTTTTCTGACTGCTCTTTACCCTAAATAAATAATTATGCTTCAGGGATTACAGCTTTTCTTTAGTCCTTCTTATTTTTGGTCAACTTTGCAGTTCCTTGTTTTTCCTAACTTAATTTATCCAGGCCTCAGTTGCCTCATCTGTAAAAGACATTAGGTAAAGTATTGTCCAAAGTCTCTTCCAGTCCTATGAATTCATAAGTCTGTATTCCATTTCATTCTACTCCATTCATGATCCTTACAGGCAGTGATGATACAACTCTTCAAGATAAGATATGAAATTCACAGAGTGTTCAAACTTTGGAAAAGTTACACCTACTCTTTGCTATTCCTTAGACCTGTGATTCACAGGTTTAGTTTTAGAATATTTCTGGATACCTACATTTATCAACAGCTGTGATGGATTGAATTGTTGCCCCCTCACTACATGCACACTTTTGCCATGGCTTCCTTGTGGGCAGAGTGTACTGCAACCCTTGACTTGCTTTGGCTAATGGCATATAGGTAGCAGTTGTACCATTTTAGAGCCTAGGAACTTAAGAGGCCTTGTATGCTTCTATTAGCTCTCTTGTATCTCTCTTTCTGCTGACCCAAGGGGAATGAGAGACACAGGAGCAGACCTGCAGATCTGAGTGAGAAGCTATCCCAGGCACTGAAACGTGAAGCAGAGCCTCTCAGTTGAGCCTAGCTTCAATCAGCTGAGTTTCAGCTGACCTATGGATCTTTCTTTTTAATTTCAGCGTAATAAGGGGGTACAAATGTTAAGGTTACAAACATTGCTATTGCCTTCCCTCCCCCATCGAGTCAGAGCTTCAAGCATGTCCATGCCCCCTACAATGCATGATGCGCTTAAAATGTATATATATAAACCTATCCCTTCCCCCCCACCTGCCCGATAACCTATAGATCTTTAAGAATAAATAATTATTAAATCTCAGTATGGTCTGTGACAGCATTTTTGTGACAACTAACTGATACAACAGGCACCATTGAATTATTTTTGTACAATGTGCTTTTAAAACAGGAAACACATTTTCTTAATTCAAAAACAAAAATAGAACAAGGTACGTTTTGCTCCAAACCCTGTTCCTCATTCACCAGGTCCCATCCAATGTCCCAACACCACAAGTCACTCACTTTATTGGTTACTTGTGAATTCTTCTAGAGTTTATGTAAATACAGACATACATGTGTAATGATATGTAGAGAATGTATAATGAATATATAGCCCCACTTTACCCTTTTGCACATTTTTTTATTCTTTGCTTTTTTCAGTTTACTATATCTTAGGCATATTTACATATCAATATATAAAAGCTTCCTTTTGTATTTTTTTTTCCTGAAGCGAAACAGCAGATATATAAAAGCTTCCTTAGTTCCTCTTCACA